GGAGAGGGAGACGGAGAGGGAGACGGAGAGGGAGACGGAGAGGGAGAGGGGGGAGAGGGGAGAGGGGAGAGAGGAAGAGAGAGGGAAAGAGAAACATAAATTGGCGTAAGATTTCTCAATAGCAACCCTGACCACCTTTGTAGAAGACAAAGAATTATCAAGTTAGGGGTATCAATACATTTTCTTGAACAGCTTCTCATTTTTCCAAGAGCTTTTATTGTTTTTGTTTTACATTTCTTGCCTCTTATGGACTGAACTGTGCCCCATCGAAGTTCATTGTGTTGAGGTCCTAAACCCCAAACTGGATCAGGATACCTGGGTCCTGCTTTCAAGTTGTACTAATATGTCACACAAGCCACTTCATAGCTTTGGTTAAATCAGGGGGTCAAATGGTCCCTTAGGTCCCTCCTGATGCTACTATGCTTCTTGAGTATGTCACCCTTAATGAAGAGCTGAAAATATGAGAACTAGGAGAGCTGGGATCTTCATCAGATTTTCTAGAAACGATAAAGATTTTATAAGAAACTGAAGCTGATAATAAGATCCTAGTTTTACCTTAAGAGGTCAGAAAGCACTTTGAAAAGCAATTTTACATTTAAAGACATTTTAAATTAAAATGACAAGTGGCAAAGGGATTGAAATAGCAAAGCATATACTGAGTAAGAAAAATCTTATCAAATGAGTAATTGTACAAAATAGCTGATGGAGGATGTTGAACAAAAATAGTGGGGTGGGGGAACTTCATTCCTCTGACCTTCTAAAAAGTCTGATTTATAATTAGATTAGCTTGTCTAAATTTCATTTCTAGGTGCTAATTTTTGTTAACTGCATACAAAGAATGGCCATGAAGACGTGGGTAAAACTGAAACAAAAGAAGCTATCAAAGAATGATGAGTGACTAGATTTTTCACAGCAACCTAAACTTTTATTTTCCTTCAGGTAAACTCTCCTGCTGATATCTTACAGGAAAATAAGTATCTGTAAATAAAAGGAACATGTCAATAATCAAGTCTTCATATCAGAATTTAAATGATTTCATCAGTTACAGAATTTACCTTCTCCTTACTACTAAGGTAATAGCACCTTCTAAAATGAATTTAATGAAACAGATTCAATGAACAGATAGCACTTGAGTAGTACATATGTTTTAAACAGACCAGTTTCCTTTCAGTCCTTATACTGGCATCTCAATAATGCAGGTTAAGTTGATGGCTACAAACAAGCCAACGTGACTGGTTGCATTTCTAGGATCTCTAACGCTGAGTTCAGACTTCTTGAGTTTGCTACCTACTATCTAACTTGTTAGCTTTTTAATCCATAGTACATTTCCAGTGATTCTGTTCTATCCTATTAAGAGGTTATATAATGAAATGAGAATTAGGTGCTAACATTTTTTGTTGGAATCATTTTACAGATAATTCACCCACCTCATTTTAGGGAGCACTTAAACTCAACTGTATTTTTATCCATGCCACCTTTGTTCTCTACATCTAATGTATCCTTTCTTTCTGAAATACATTTCCCATTGTTCCCTTTAGCCAGCTGGTGCATATTTATACAGGAAATCCCAACATTTTCTGTGGGCCATGTGTTTCTACTGGTTTCTACTTTCTTTGAGGAAAGCTGTTCTTTGTGGGCTTCCTCTTTCCTCCAAGAAACCATAGGTAATGCCTCCCCTTCTCCAATCTGCCAACTACTTAGTAGATCCAAAGCACAGCTCCAGGTGGTTAGAATGAGAGGAGCTGAGATGACCAGGCTGGTCAAAACCTACCCAGGAGGTGAAGTCTATTTGTGAACTTGGATTCATCTTTGATTCCACTCAACACTTGACGGGCAGGTAGTCAAATATTTCATGAAACAAGGCTATACTCTAGGCGCCTCTTGTTTCAACACCTGTTACTTCTAAGAGTTATTCTGGCCATCAGGGGCCCTTCAGCACTGTTCTGGGTAGACTGTGAACAATGGTCCTGCCTAATTCTTTCCCCCAAGCTCCATACAGCTCTTTTCAAGGACTAAGTGGCCTACATTTTACCTAATAGCGTGTAGGCTAATTCTGCATCTTCAAATACTCGCACCTAAAAGATGCTTGTGCTCTGTTACTATGTTGTTACCAGAAATAAACAAACATTGTTTTATCTAATTTGATTTTTAATGTAATTAATGATTTAGTTTTCAAAACAGCAAGTAATTATAGAACAAGAGAAAACATTGCTGAGATGATGCCTGATCTCTAACATTCAGGCCAGTGCTGGACCACAGAGGGAAGAAATGTATATTCATGGTGTTATAACAAAATCAGAGTAAAACGACCATTCAGGAAATAGCAATAATGAATTTTATAACAGAAACAATATGTTTAGAATGAGTCTGCCAGTAATTGAATCTTTTTTTGGGGTGGGGGTGTAAAATGACAACCTAAGTCCTTTAGAAAAACATAGGACAAGGGATGCCCAGATACATCCTGCTGTTAGGAGTGCATCCCTTCAAAATTCAGTGCACAAAGGTTGTCCCATTTAATTTTCAACAGTTTTCACTTTCTTCTTGTTCTCCCAATTTAAGTAAATTTCTACATTACTCAGAAATTATCAGAAACTCATTCAGTTTGAACGACAAGTATTCTGTGACATGGGGTAAAAAGTTGTCTTTTTCAAACAAGTTATAAGACATAATTGTCAATAAAGTGCATTTCACATAAGAGTACCCATTAGGAGAGTAATTTAAAGTGCAATATATAAGGTATGTTAACTAGTGCAGAGTTGCTACATATATACATTATATGTGCCAAGTCCAAATAAAGCAGGATCTTTTCTCTCCCTAAGCCAGACAGAACAATGGAAACACACTTCCACATTTTTAATCCTTTGGAGGTATGTGTATTTTGGTCCATCTATGTGTGTGCATGTGTGTGAGAAAGAGGCTGTGCCTCAATATGTATATAATTGCTTAATGGTCTGTGCAAACATTTAAGTAGTTTCCTAGAATCTGAAACCTTTAAACACTGACATAATTACACAATTGCCACTTCTACGTAGCATTAGGCCTGTAATAATGGTTGAGCTATTTCAGCCTGCATATCTGGTAAGGCAGGTATGTGACTGTGAGTTAAATGTTTAAGGAAAATTATAAAAAATACAACAACTAGAATGCTACCAAGAGAGACCCCTATGAAATAAGCGTATGCCTCCCCTCGCGTGTACTCTCCCGGTCTGACACTACCATGGAGGAGTGGAGCACTCTGCGTGGGAGGACTCGCTTTGGAAGCTGTTGAACTGAGCAGGTCCTGGACACTCCTGAGTGATCCGTTGTGCGGCATGACAGGGATATCGAGGAGGTGGCAGAGCAGTGGGTACAGATCGGTGGAGTTCACAGCTTCTTTTGTGAAATTCTTTCTGAAGGCAGGCCCGTGGGCTAAAAATATTGGATGCATTTCTGCTAATGCATTATCGTAACCGTGGTTGCCTACTGTAAAGATAAAATGCATGGAAACGTTACCCAACCTGCAGGCATTAAAATGGAAATAACTGTTGTACTGTCAGAGTCTGAACAAGTAAATGCAAACTTTATCCAATCTTTTAAAATAGTCTTTCACAAACAACCTTTGCTGTTGCCAACATCACAATTCACTTCAGGAACTGAAAAGGCAAATGGTCACAAATCTTTCTCAGGCCAACGTGACCTTACGCAGCACAGGAGGAAGGGTAAGGGGTAAAGCTGGGCCAAGTCAAGGGAAAATGGAATGGATTTTTTTTTTTTTTAAATATATCTTTATTGATTTCAGAGAGAGGAAAGGAGACGGGGAGAGAGAGACAGAAACATCAATGATGTGAGAGTCACTGATCGAGCCCACAACCCGGGCATGTGCCCTGACTGGGAATCGAACCCTGATCGCCTGGATCCCAGGTCGACGCTCAACCGCTGAGCCACACCCGGCCGGGCTGGAATGGGTTTTTTTTTTTTGGTGGCAGGTAAAACTACTTGTTAGGTACCTTTTATGTTCTAATGATTGTTCTAAAGATAATGAACAATCTAATGATTATTCTAAAGATAAAAGATAAAGGTGCTCTTAACCAATAAATCCATGATTACTAACAAAAGGGGAAAAAATAAAGAAAAACAAAAACACCCCCCACAAAAATCAAACCTCTAGTTACAGTTACACTCCACAAATGAAAAAAAATAAAGGTCACGACTCGAGGGTAAAATCTTGATTTTCAAGGTTCAGATCAGGATCTTAGCACTGGTGCCTTAGTGTGGATACAAGTAAAGTAAAAACTTGAGGAGTCTTCTGACTTGCCAAGTGATACAAAATTGAAAGGTGAAAGCCCGGCCGGCTGNGGTGCCAGGTAGGCACTTGAATTATCAGAGGGAGCACTTTGTAACCTATATGAATGGCTAGCCACTGTGCTGCACACCTGAAACTAATACAGAAAAGGTGTTGAGCACAAACTGTAATCGAAAAAGAAAATAAAAAATTGCAGTGCCATTCACAAAAATAAAAAGTAAAGTGCAGCTTTTATTATGCATGAGTTTTCACCTTTCAATTTTTTTTTAAATATATCTTTATTGATTTCAGAGAGAGGAAAGGAGAGGGAGAGAGAGAGCTAGAAACATCAATGATGATATATTTAAAAAAAAATTGAAAGGTGAAAACTCATGCATAATAAAAGCTGCACTTTACTTTTTATTTTTGTGAATGGCACTGCAATTTTTTATTTTCTTTTTCGATTACAGTTTGTGCTCAACACCTTTTCTGTATTAGTTTCAGGTGTGCAGCACAGTGGCTAGCCATTCATATAGGTTACAAAGTGCTCCCTCTGATAATTCAAGTGCCTACCTGGCACCATAGATAGTTATTATTAATATTGTTGACTATAGTCCCTATAATAAAAGCTGCATTTTAAAGGCATGTGTGCTTAGCATGGTATCAGGGTGCAAAGTTGAAGGAACTACTGCTGATAAGATGGCAACCTAAGAAAACTGACTGGCTTTATTTTAAAGTTGGTGAGGACAATGACTAGCAAATCAGCCTCTGGTACCTACACAGCTACAGGGAGATACCCAAAGGGAGAGTACAACATTTAAAAAAAAAAAATCTCAAATCATTTTCTCTGAAAGTCATGAACTGACCCCTAGTCATCTCCTCAAAGCGATTCCAAATCTGCCTGGCCAAATCTACCAAAAGTCTTTCTAAACGCCATGATTCTTTTGCATTTATTCAAATAAAAATAACCTGGATTTAAGAAATCATCTGTAATTATTTGACAGGGTACTATGCCAGTCTATTGATAACATCGACATTGGGAAATATGCCATTATAGAGTTTGCAATTGACTGGATGATTGTTCTGTTCATTTCTATAAGAAGTTGGGATCTAGACTCTCAGTCATGAAGACAAAGGTGATTCTCTCATATCCCACTTTTTATTAGAAAATCAGATTTGTAATGAGATCATTATGACTTATAAAACCTTTTCCATGAATAGGGACTTTGTTTTATAGTGGTAGCCCCTACCATAAGGGCTTGATCCAGTAGATAACATTTAATAATGGATGCCTAAGGGCAGTGGTTCTCCAACTTCAGTGTATCTGAGACTCCTGGGGGGACATGTAAAAACAGATTGCTAGACTCTACCCTCACAGCTTCTAATTCAGTTGGTTTGGGTTGAGTCCAAGGATTTGCATTTCTAACAAGTTCCCAGGTAATATGGATGCTGCTGGTCCAGGAAACACACTTTGAGAACCTCTGCTTTTGAACATCAGGGCTTAATCTCTTTTGGAACTCAGGCTGAGAAGAACTGCAGTGGTCAATACTTATTTTGTTGAATAAGTGAACACGATATAATATAAATAGAAGCATTATTAAGGTTTTCTGTCAAAAATAGGTATGACCGATCTATTGTGTAACTGTAGTTCACCAAACCAAATTTCAAGAAAGCACCTTAAATTCATGTTAACTGAAAAATTTTGAGCAACACTTCTAACATAAGAGCTAACTGCACGATACATGAAAATCTGAACACAGAAAGGTGGCAACTGTTCTCATGGCCAAAGAAATTATTTTTAAAGGCCTTCTTAAAATGGGTACCTTGTGCGGTTAAATACGGGTTTACAGATCATTATCTATATGTAAAACCAGTTTTAAGGACCAGAAACTACATACATGTATGAATTACATTATGGCATATAATCTGTCACTATGAATTATGTATACATTACAAGAGCCACTGGCAGGCAACTCCTTTTCATTTTCTCAATACATATGATAGAAACCTAATTCTACCTAAAGGGACATTTTTGTACATCTCATATATATCAAGGGCCAATACCCTAAAAAGCATCTCTAAACAGTTTGACACAATGTGGTTCCTTCAACATTCAATTAACAGAGTAGAAACAAATCCCAGTGAACTGACAACTGATCAGCAGTGCGTGTTAGTATCTAAATCAACCAGGAAGCCCATGCCAGGGGGTCCAATAGAGGGGGTTTAATGTGGAGACTAGTTACAAAAGTGCCAAAGAGCTGAGAAGCAAACATGGGATGAGAAGCTTATCCAGTGATTGCGAACAGAAGGAACCTCCTAGAAGCCCGGGGCTGGAGGGACACAGGAAGAGGTGACTGGTTTTACCAGAGCCCAAAAGCCAGGGCTACTTAGTAACAGCTGAAGCCATAGAGACAGTTGTCCAGAGGGAGCTGGGATCACAGAGGAAATGGAAATGAAACCATTGTTAGGGACACAGCCTGAGGCAGGGAGAAGGGTACAGATACCCCGGCTTCTCCCTTCCTCCTGGCTTCCAAACTCCTGTCAGGGTGTTCTAATGGCCAACCCTAACCTGAAACCAGTTCACAAAGGAGCCTGGGGAATTCAGTCTGTAATGGTCAATCACTGGTGATACGAAGCAGAGAGTTTGAGAGCAAATATGCAGATGACAGACACAATGAAGACTAGTAAAGCCCTGTGGATGACTGCTCCATTTGGCTTGCTTGTTAAAAACAGTACGAGAAGAGAAAATCACACACTAAGGATGAAAGAAAGTACCTTATTTTGCACGTCTGAATTTTAAATGGAAGTTCCATTATATTCTAAATTTATTCACTGGCAATATCTCCAAAATTACATCGCTAGGTATTAGAACACATCTTGATATATTATTTTCCATGACACATTTCCTTCATTTTAGAAATGTTCCCAAGGTGTAAAGCAAAGCTGGCCTACATTTGGTAGAGCCACAAGAGGGCAAAACAAAAAATTGAAAGCTGATAACTGCAAATAAAAAATAGAGTTTCAATTCCAATGAAATCAGGCCCTGGACGGGTGGCTCAGTTGGTTGGAGCATCACCCCAATATGCCAAGGATGTGTGTTTGATGCCTGGTCAGAGCACATTCAAGAACCAACCAATGAATGAATGAATAAGTGGAACAACAAATCTCTGTCTCTAAAATCAATTAAAAATTCTAATGAAATCAGAATATAAAACAGATACAGAAAATAATTCAATTTATAAATTTCAGTTATGTTTTTCGCAGGACCATAATGGTTATAATTAGTGGGACAGGTCACTGTGCACAGTTTTGGTTTGGCTTCAAGAGAAGTAAATATGTCATTTTTAGGAGGTGACCCCTTTTTAAAGCCCCAAGGATCTTTATTTTGCTATTAATGTATGACACTAGCTAGTTATTCAATCAGTAAATAAACTGCTGTATTATCCATCGAGTCCACTTTAGCACACACAGATGCAGAATGGGAAGAAACAACTGTAACATACTCACACATAAAGCCATCTGACTTATTCTGTAAAATATACCACCCCTCGTCAGCCACTGCTATAATTGGTTGAATTCGGTTGTTGTATTTGTAATGCCATCTTTCTGGAATCTCTTCTTTTTTGTAAACAGTCAGGTTAGGATGAGCATGAGCTAGTGCCTCATAGACTTCATCAAATCTGCCTGTAAGAGAAGGGAGGAGAGGCGCTCAGAACAAAACCCTCACTGCTACAATCAAACAATCATGGCAATGGAGGTCAATCAATGCAGACACCCCACCGAGGTCACAAGCCAGCAAGCTGCACATAATGAAATCTAGCCAGACACTTTAGAATTCCCATCCCCTCTGAGAAATCTTGAGGGGGAAAACTGAGAAATAATGAATCTTCTAAGTAAATTCACCTTATACAATAGATCATTTTATACAACCTGAAATCTCTAATTTGAGATTTCTTAATAACTTACACACACAAACGCAGGTAATACTGCAACACCCAAACTCAAACAAAGGGTTACGTTCTGGTAGTTACTGAGTGCAGAGGTAGAGAATCTCTAGATAAAGTACGGTGAGAAGAGGGTGAGGGTTGGGAAAGGACAGGCTGGAGATGGAAAGCAGATTGTAAAGTGGAAAAGTTCTTTAAAACCCTGGAGGTCTTGCCAAAGCACTCCCTATACCTTCATATGCAGTAAACCCTGGCACTGTCTTCACTCCTTTCCTTGCTTTTCAAATCCATTTGTAGGGGTTCCTCCCTGCCTCCCACACCGGACAAGGCGACACCAAAGCAATCTTATAAAGAAAACTGACGCGTTAATGGGATTTTCTGAAACAACAAACAACTTGCTATTTTATACTGACTTTGTTGAAGTTTGTGTGCAGGCATGTATGCATATTTTAACATTCACTGTTTCCTATGATCCTCTTAATTCCCCTGTGAGGGGTAGAACTCTCATTTGTGAGGTACTCAGCTTTTCCAGATCTTTTCTCTCATTTGATACCTAGACTAGCCCCAGGAGCTGATAAAAAAGAAGTGGGACCAGTTAGTCTGAGTCTGGCTCTGAACTTAAACACTGTGATCTGGGGATGCAATACTAGATGACAGGGCTGATATGAGGCTTCAAGGGGAGATTTAGAAAAATTTAAGGTCATGTTATTACTTCCCCTACTTAGAGTTAAGAAAATGAAATTTCAGGTTGACCAAGGCTTTCTCCTCCCTACACTCCACTGCTTCCCTATTAAGCGGGTCCTAAGGATCTACCAAAGGCTTTTAGGGCTTCTAAGAAATCATTCATTTTCTATCTTCCCATCTCATTGTTTCTGAGGAGGCTGCAACTTTCATTATAGTCAATGATTCCAAATGGTTAAATCCACCTGCCAAAAATATACAGACAGTACTGACTGCAATATTCTAGGAAAAAGTGAAAAATTAGACTCCAAGTGATACCATCAGGTTGGTATAAGGAAATAAAATATCCTGTTAGCTACTGCCAGCTGTCAGAGGGGAGGGGGTTAGGGGCTGGGTGAGAGGGGTGAAGGGATTAAGCAAAGAAAAAAAACACACAACTCAGACACAGACGACAGTACAGTGATTCCCAGAGGGAAAGGGGAGTGGGGGCGGGTAGAAGACAGTAAAGGGGGGATAAGTGGTGCTAGAAGGAGACCTGACTTGGTGTGATGAACACAATATACAGATGGTGTATTACAGAATCGTACACCTGAAATGTATGCAATTTTATTAATCTATGTCACCCCGATAAATTCAATAAAGAAATTCTGTTAGCATATTTTCCAGGAAGCAGCTAGCCTCCAGGTAAGCAGTTGCAGACACCACTGAAGGCAAAAAAGAACCAGCTGAAACAGGTTAAGCATCTATTTCCCACACAAGGCAACCAAGAACTCATTATAATACAATATTAAAGTCCCCAATTCTGAGGCCCTGGATGCCATTTTCTGAACGTGAGCTGCAAGAAGAGGCAGGACCTGCTACTGCGCCCCCACCTACCCTACACCACCCTTACATACTAGGACAAACATTTCTATCATGAATATTCATTGATTTGACAGGATAAAATCACAGAGGCTCCCCACGTTGGGCTTTGGAAATTATTCACCATGGGCTCCTTATTTAGCAGCAAATAAATTGCACTTTGTGTGGAAACCACTCTTGGTGTAATGTCTGGGATCTTGCTCACCAAGAAGTGAACGCAAGTTTGGTTCAGTAACAAAAAACAGAGATTTTGTTTTTTCAGAGTCTAAGAATTAAGTTCCAGAATGTTACCACGACACAGGCAAGCATACTTTAAAGGCACAGAAACAAAAATTCCCCACTTGACTGCTCTGAGCAGCACATGCAGACCTGTTCTCAGACCAACACTCAGACAGACTCACCTTTTTTGGGCAAGATAGCTGCTACTGGAGATTGGTCAATCAGGATGTAATGGTCTTTATCCAGGTACTGGTCAAGTTCTATTACCCTCTCCTCAGAACACTGGGTCATTCCGTGATCACTTGTGATAATTAGGTTCAGAGTGTCCCACAAGTTTGCCTTTTTCAGCATTTGTATAAGATATCCTAACTTGCTGTCAATATCTGAAATGACAGGCCCCATGAGTGGACTGTCAGGTCCCAACTGGTGGCCCATGTCGTCAGGCTCTTCCCAATAGAGAAGACCAAGGTTGATGGGTTCTTTTGATGTAAACCACTCAATAATCTTGGCAACTCTATCTTCAAATGAAACAGACTCATTGTAAAGCATGTAGTGAGTGGGAAAGCTCTCATGTATTTTGACATCCGATCCGGGCCACATGGCTGCACCACTGGCATGTCCGGCCCTCTGGTTTGTGATCCATATTGGCGTTGCTCCTTCCCAAAACTCAGAGTCATAAATATTCATGTTATCCAAGGAGAAAGACTTGTTCAGAATAGGATCAAACATGTCATTTGCAACAATCCCATGATTCTCAGCAAAGAGGCCAGTTACAAAAGTATAATGATTAGGGTAGGTCTTTGTAATAAAGATATTAGTCACTTGTTTCACACGAACCCCGGATTTCATAACATAATGAAAATGGGGTGTTGGAACTCTATATAAGTAATCCCAACGGAATCCATCAAATGAAACTAGTAGAACCTTTTGCTGGTCCAGTTGGAGAGAAAATGTAACTGAAAGTGTTAACGCAGCAAGTATGAAGGCTGCCCGGAGGCGTTTTGAGGTCATTTTCAAAGTACCTGATCAGTTCAGCATAAGATGATCTGCATAAAAAAAATAGAGAAGTTACTAGCATATAGTAGATCATTTTGTTTTGTATACTTTACTCAAAACTGAGAGTAATGGTTCTTAGTAATCCCAGTTATACCATAAATCGCAGCGTGGAAGAATTATGTGGCAGAACTCCACCTTAAACAAGAGACCTCGGGGCTACCTATGTAATAAAGCTAAGAAGTTTGGGTGCATTAGAAGCTGTTTTACTTTCCAAGAATTTATCAAAAATCAAACCATTCCCAAGGAGTTACTCAAATAAGTTCCAAAACATCATTTTAAAATATGGTATAATTTACATACAACTTTTCAGAAACATTGTCAGGTTTACCAGACATCTGACAGTCAAACACCTGTGAACATATTTATCACTGTTAGACCTACTACAGGAACTTAGCAACAAGAGAGTATCATCAGCAAATCCAATAATGCTTTTAAAAATATATACACACACCTCTATTTTTCAAAGCCAAAGCCTGCCCTGGCCAGGTAGCTCAGTTGGTTAAAGCATCATCTCAATATGCCAAGGTTGCAAGTTTGACTCCTGGTCAGGGCACATACAAGCAGCAGCCAATGAATGCATAAATAAGTGGAACAGTAAATCAATGTTTCTCTCTGTCTCTTTCTCTCCTTTCCCCGTTCTCTCTAAAACCAATAAGTAAATAAAAAAATTTAGGAAGCCAAAGCGTATGTTTGGTTCATCATGGTTAGAGATGTTACTAGAGAGAAGTAAAAATACATGAACTTGGTTTCTTGAAGAGACATAAATTTGTGACATTCAAATACATTTGTGAAATATAATATGCATTCATTTATTAATAATCAAATCATAGCCTTCTTTAAACTAAACCAATTAGGTTCTAAGTATAAACAGAAACATATTTTTAGTAGATATTTCCATATTTGTTTAATATTTATTTTAGTAGATATTTCCATATTTGTTTTATTTTCTCTTTATTTTTTCCCCATCATTTATCCTATACCCTCTTCCACTCCACCTACCCCCTCTACCCTGCAACAATCATCACACTGTTGTCCAAAGTCATGAATTCTCTTTTTTTTTTTCTCAATCCCCTCAACAGCCCCCCCCCC